CGCACCCTTCATATATACGTTGATTAGCTGCCTCCAACAAATCAAAAAACCTCTTTGATTCGTTGTTTGGTTCTTCATCTTCTCTGTTATAACAAAACTGAGAAGGGAATGCATCTTGAACCATATCAACGTAACGGTTAGTTGGTTCACTGCTCCTCCCAACAAATTTGTCGTTAATGGTAGAAACATTAACAACATCGAGCGTTTCACCATGATAAACCCAAACATAATAATTTGGAACAAAAACTCTTTTGAATAGATGTTTAAGAACCACCTCTGGAGTAAGAAATTTAGAATTTTTACATCGTACACACGGACAATATATTTTACCCGTTCTTACGCACTGATTGTGATTTGTCGCAAATTGCATGAAATTCTGCAACCCGTAGATGCATCAATTCTCTCGTATAACCATCGTCTAGAGTGATAAATATCACCTCCACTCGATGTCATTTTTTTTTAGAATTTTCGAAGTTTGAAGGGGAAGAGGGGAAGGGAGAATGTTTTATAAAATTATTTGCAACGCAATTTCATTGTGAACCGATAAACGTAGCAACGAAATTGCGTTGCAAAGTAAAAACCGGTTAATAGACTTCACCGTTTTACAATGCAATTGCGTTGCAACATTTATCGGTTAGCAACGAAATTGCGTTGCAAAACAGATTGACAACGCAATTTCGTTGCTACCAAAAAGCGCAATTCTGACACAACATCATTTGTGTTGCTAACATCATTAGCAACGAAATTGTTGCGTTGCTACCTAGCAACAAAATTTGGCTTCGTGACAAATGCGTTGCAAAACGTTACTCGTTGCAACGAAATTTTCGTTGCTAGTAGCAACGAAATTCATGCGTTGTAAAAGCGTTGCTACTCGTTGTCGTTGCGTTGCAAAAGTGTTGCAACATTTTCGCCCGTCAAATAACGTTGCTAATCGTTGCAACTTGCAACGCAATTTTCGTTGCTACTTTGCAACGAATAAATTGCGTTACTACGCGTTGCAAAAACGTGTTATTTCGTTGCTATTTCGTTGCAAACTTTCTTCGTTGCAAAACGTTGCGAAAGCGTTGCAAAGAAAATAATTTCGTTGCAAATTTCGTTGCAAAAACGCTGTTTTTTTGTAGTGCTATGAGACATTTGTCTAAATATGCACATAACTTTCTGCTCGTATATTAGATCTTCTTGATCTTGGCATCTATGCATAGATATGCCAAAGAGCTTTCTAATGTTATAAAGAATAAATTATCTGGGCATGTTTTGTTGAAATTATGAAGTGGATAATATCACTAACCAACAATCGACCTATCCATCGAATGATGGCTGATTATGTGGCTGGAATTATAGACCATGAGGCTATTACTGGCAATTTGAGTCAACAACTGAATCATGGATCACCTATCGAATGACGGCTAATATTTCTGGTTGATTTTCAGATCATCAGATTACCAATCTAGAGTTTGCTGGCGATTTTTGTAGATATGTAGGCACTCGATGAGTCTGTTATCTAAATATGCACATAACTTCCTGCTAGTATATTAGATCTGCATGATCTTGGCATCTATGCATAGCTATGAAAAAGAGCTTTCTAATGTTATAAAGAAAGAATTATTTGGGAATGTTTTGTGGAAGTTATGAAGTTGATAATATTATCAGCCAACAATCGATCTATCCATCGAAAGATGGCTGATTATGTGGATCGAATTCTGGACCATGAGGTAATTGCTGACGATTTGAGTTGACAGTTGAATCATGGATCACCTATCGATTGACGACTAAAAATTTTGGTTGATTTTTAGATCATCAGATTACGAATCGAGACTTGCTGACAATATTTTCCGATATGTAAGCACTCTATGAGACTATTGACTAAATATGCACATAACTTTCTGCTCGTATATTAGATCTGCTTGATGTTGGCATATATGCATATGACAAAGAGCTTTCTAATATTATAAAGAATGAATTATATAGACATGTTTTGTGGAAGTTATGAAGTTGATAATATCACCAGCCAACAATCGACCTATCCATCGAATAATGGCTAATTATGTGGCTCGAATTCCAGACCATGAGGCTATTGGTGGCGATTTGAGTCGACAGCTGAATCATGGAACACCTATCGAATGACGGCTAATAATTTTGTTTGATTTTTAGATCATCGGATTACCAATCGAGAGTTGGCTGACGATTTTTGTCGATATGTAGGCACTCGATGAGATTGTTGTGTAAATATGCACATATCTTTCTATTCGTATATTAGATATGCATGATCTTGGCTTCTATGCATAGGTATGACAAAGAGCTTTCTAATGTTAAAAAGAAAGAATTATTTGGGAATGTTTCGTAGAAGTTAAGAATGTTAGGTGATGTCGCAAATCTAGGCGAATAAATTCGATCAAGTTATAATATCCTAGACTCAACAATTAACCGCAAGTGTACGGATCGTGTGTAGTAGATAGGGTCGAACACAGAGACAAAATTAAACAAAGGAGTTAAACCCAAATCCAAATCTAAATCCAAGAAAAATAATAGGAATGTGGAGAATGGAATGTCGAGAACAAAGCAATTAACTAAAACGGTTGTAGACAGTCAATGAAAAACACTGCAGGCTTCGGGATTGCTTTACATGCAAGGATCTTTCAAAAGATGCAAACGAAGTGGTTTATCTATCCAATTCAGGAAACTCAAGCTCTAAAGTGGAGATTAACTCTCTCAAGTCTAATCTCACTATCTAGACTTTATCCTACTAATCTCTCGATTCAATAGTCTAAAACCCTGGATGCATGAACGAACGCTATCATAATCCCTAGGCAAATATTCATCTCTCGATGCAATACCTGTTCCATTTACTAAGTTATTTCCAGGTTAGAATCCCATATGTCTATGCGAATTAAAACCCTAAGTTCATTCAATCAAGTGGCCAACAAGATCAAACGCATTAAGAGCAACTCAATAAACTGAATCAAATAAATAATACCACATAGTCTGGAATTAAAAACCAAAGATCCCTACATAGCAAATCCCTAACCTACAGCAAGGGAACTACTCGCTAAACATCGAAACGACAGGGTTCATATCAATAATACAAAACATCGTAAAATAGAAGAAAGGAAGAATGATTAGTCGATTTCCCGGCTTCGTAATCTTCGTCTTCTACTCCGATCTCTTGCCTCTTGATAATCGTCCCCTTTTGTGTGCTCTAGGATGTATTCTTTGTGTAAAGCTTGCATGATTTTCGACCTAGAGGCTTTCCCCTCTTATTTCACTTCGATTTGGGCAAAATTGGAAGTTTTTCCAAATCTGGGGGTCGAATCGATCGTTTCGGCAAAGTCAAACCGATCGGTTACACTTTCTGAGCAATTTTCCAATTTCTACGATGCCGAACCGATCGTTTCGCTAAACCCGAACCGATCTTGTCGTGTTTCTGAGCAGTTTTGACAGGCTTCACGAATTCGCTCATAACTTCCTGCTCAGATATCGGATTTGGGTGATCTTGGTGTCTATGTGTAGATATCAAAGAGAGCTTTCCAATGATGCAGAGAATGCATGATTTGGACTTGAGAGTGAAAGTTATCGGACTTGCAAGATCTAATGTTTCCTGAGCTTCACGTTTTCCCTGGAAACACTCCAAATGTTCCCGTTTTGTCCGTGATGTTCCATAGCCAATGTTTTCCACTCCTTTTGCTCTTTTTATGCATGAAAACCTGTTTAAACATTAAAGAACACAACCATGCAATATCGAAGCCAAATATACCCTAGAATGCCTACACATATATAAAATAGAGTGAAATACGCTGGACATCCAATATCAAAACGTCACCCAAAATACGTGTTATCAAACTCCCCCAGACTTAAACCTTTGCTCGTCCTCGAGCAAATACTCCGTGAAAAACAATCTGAAAGGAGTGCGAGACAACGACATAACTTAAAATGATAATCGAGAGCGAAACATCTATCCGACCTAGATCCCCGTGAACAATGACCAAGTCTGTCTAATATGATCTCCATCTCTAAAGGATAGTCTTTCCTAGCTATGGATCTATACTGCTACCCAGAACCAATCTAAGGACTTCAATCATTTATCAAGCATGTTTCTCGAACCTATTACACCATTTTACCTAATCGTATCTAGTCTACGCTTTCGGCGTTCATTCTTTTTATCTTTTTCTCTTTTTTTTTTTCTCATCTAGCTAGACTTTCTCTCTTTTTTTTCTCTTTTTTTTGCTAGCATCTCGGGTTCCTAGGACGTTGAAGTTGAAGGGTTCCTAATCAATTTTTTTTTATTTTGTTTATTGGATAACCCGACCCACAACTTAGACCCGAACCATCGAATCGATGCACTCATGTCCTCGAACGATTTTCGTTGACGAGGTAGTGACAGCGGAGTGTCGAGATGCTCACTATCTTTTTCTGCACATAAAGAAATAAGAATACATTTGATAATAGACTTTACCGATTTCAGCAAACTTGGGAAAGACTCTTATAGAAACTTTTCTATCTGACTAGACAACATCGGTCCCATGAGTTCCAACCAATGATTTCTATCCCACAAGCCATTCTAGAAAATCCTAAAGATCAAGCAATCAATTCAACAAAACATAACCACGTTCAATGGATCACAGTGTTTTCAGGATGTTTCTACTCTCTCATGTCATAGATCATCATATCAATGCTCAAAACGGTTCTATGCACGTGATCTTATATGTCCTAAATGCAATATGTAAATGCATAATCCTAACAACAAACTATATGATCCTAGAACACTCTATATGCACATGCAACTAAAAAGTGAAAAGAAAAAAATGCATGCAACATTACTCTAAATAGATATGGTTTAGCGTTAGACGAATCCTCCCCCAGACTTGAACTAGACACTGTCCTCGGTGTCAATTCTCATCTAGTAGAGGCAACCAATACTTAGCTCGCGACGTTCATTCACTCGCACTTAAGTCTGCCTACGTCTATCGCATAGCTAGCTGCCTTGTCTCCTCAATAGCTCCTCATTAGAACTCAACCTGGTGATAAAGACACAAACCAATATCCGATGTAAAAAGAAAAAGAAAAGAAAGGAAAGGAAAACTAACCTAAAAACTCGGGTTGCCTCCCGGAAGCGCTTGTTTAAGGTCGTTAGCTTGACCGAACCTTCTCAACTATCATACGGGTCTAACATGCGAAGATTATCGATCTTTCTCCAACCTGGATCATGAAGTGTATGAGAATGGTGGTCTGATAGACTAGTGACCTCTTTAACAGAGTGAGAGAGGTCATGAGCGCCCATGCGAGATGAAAGTGAAGCATTGTATCGTGCTGGGGCCTGAACCAATCGGTTAGAGAATGCAGAACCGATCGGTTCCAAGTTCTGTAACTCGAAGCTCGAGAAGGGTGCTCGAACCGATCGGTTGCACACTGCGACACGATAGGTTTGAGTTTTTGTAACTTTTTGCTCCGAACTCTGTTTTCGAAACGATCGGTTGAAGGTCGAGAACCGATCGGTTCGACTTTCTGTAAAATTCTGGCATTGAGATCATGTTCAAACTGATCGGTTCCCTGGCCTGAAATGATCGGTTCATACTTCTGAGCTGAATCGTCGAGTGTGTTTATGAAGCAGGCAGATTCTGTTGATGCCGGTTGTTTGAGATTTTTATCCAAAGTGAACTCCATCGTCTCATCTCCAATCTTCATGGCCTGCAATATTAAGGAATGGACGACCAAGGATGATAGGTACCTTAGGATCTTCGTCCATGTCGAGAACCACAAATTCAACCGGGATATAGAAGTTACCGACTATCAATGGCACATCTTCAAGTATCCCAATGGGGTATTTGACAGAACGATCGGCAAGTTGGAGAGTCATTCTAGTGGGTTTCAGCTCACCCACATTCAGCTTCTTGAAGATCGATAATGGAAGAAGACTGACGGCAGCTCCTAGATCACAGAGTGCACGATGGAAACATTTCCAATTTACAAGGGATTGAGAAGCTACCTGGATCGGACCGCTTAAGCGGGAGCTCGTGTCGGATCAAAGCGCTGCATTCGGCAGTAAGCGCCACAGTTTCTTTCTCAGTGACCCTCTTCTTGGTCAGAATGTCCTTGAGGTACTTCGTGTACGAGGGAATCTGCAAAATAGCGTCAGTGAATGGCATGATTACCTCGAGTTTCTTCAGCATCTCAACGAACTTCGCGAATTGGCTGTCTTCGTTGTGCTTCCTCAGGCGAGATGGAAACGGTACTGGTGGTGGTCTAGGAGGAGGAGGCACGTAAGCTGGCTCAGGTGTATCATCAGCAGTATCTAAAACTGTGGTTCTCGAGCTATCGCCTTGCTCAACCATCGGTGGATCTCTAGAATCTACCTGCTTACCACTTTTCAAGGTAATAGCATTGACATGCGCACGAGGGTTAGTCTCAGAGTTACCTGGAAGAGACCCAGATGGTCTTTGAATGGCTGATGCTAGCTGAGCAATTTGGTTGTCTATGTTCTTGAAGTGAGCCTCGATGCTTGCAAACTGAGCTCGAAATTCCTGATTCGTCTTCTCTTGACTCTGCAAAAACTGTATAAGGAGACCGTACGTATCAGGGTTAGATTCGAGATTACCTGGAGATGCAACATTGTTGTAGGATTGTCCCGGAGCTCTGTAGTTGGATGTCTGATTAGGACCCCTGGATTGAAAAGCAAACCCGGGAGGAATCCTCTGGTTCGAGTTGTCGGATACTCTGAAGTTGTTCGACGCGGGATTCTCAACACTATTTGACTTGTATGAGAGATTGGGATGATTTTTCCACCCCGGATTGTACGCGTTCGAGTTGGGGTTGTTGGCCACATAGTTCACACATTCGTTTCTCTCATCTAGTGCGTACATACCGAGCTCCTCTTGTGTTGGCGTCGAATGTTCGGTCCTAGAGGACCGAGTGGAATCTTCGAGCTTAGCATTGAGGACAGCCAATTGTTCGAGAACCATATGTATGGTTTGATCATTGCCTTTCCTTGGCAAATCTCTAGAGTACTCATTCGGAGCGTCTTCTTCTTAGGCCATCATCTCAATATGTTCTTCTAGCTCAGCGAATGACTTGTTCTGGATGCTCCCACCGCAAGATGCCCGGATCAAGGTCTTGGTATCCATCCTGAGTCCTCGGAAGAAGGTGTTGATCAGGTAGTTCTTATCTAGCCAGTGATGAGGGCAAGACTTTTGATATCCCTTGTACCTCTTCCAAGCGTCATAAAGACTTTCCCCATGATCCTGCTTGAATGAATGAATGCCAGAAAGAGCGGCTTGAATGCGGTGAGCTGGGAAAATTTTTGACATAAACTGCACTTCCAACTGTTCCCAGGTGTGGATGGAATCAGGTATCAAATCATAACACCATTCCAAAGCAGCATCCAGGAGAGTCCAGGGGAAAGCAATTAAGCGAAGTGTATCCTCTGTCACCCTGTTGTCTCTCTTGACAGAACGACACATCATCTTAAAGCGAGTTAAATGTGCATTCGGGTCTTCGTTCGGCCTACCCCGGAAAGCATTGTTGCCCAACATCTGAATAGTAGACGGGTTCAGCTCGAAACTA